ACTAGGCTTTGTTAAGCAATTTCATATTTTATGTTATATATTTATATATTATAATTTTTTGTTTGGCAGACCGGGCTCTCGCTCTGTGCCCAGGCTGAGTGCAGTGGCGGTCTCAGCTCACTGCGAAGCTCCGGCCTTTCCCGGGTTTACGCCATTTCTGCCTTATGCTCCACGTAGTAGGCTGGGGACTACAGGTGCCGCCACTCACCGGGCTAGTTTTTTGTTGTTTTTGTTTAGTTAGAGACGGAGAAAAGAGTAATTAACAGATGATTAGTCAGGATGTCTTGATCTCCTGATCGTGATCTGCGTCTGCGCGGCAATCCCAAAGTGCTGGGTTCGAGGGTGAGCCACCGTGGCCGGCCTAAGAAGCCATTTCTTTGTGGGAGAGCCTCCGTATAAACAGCAGTTGCAGTCAAAGAAGAAGATATTCACAGCAGGTGGGCGGCTGGTTGGCTCGCGCTGTAATCCCGCTTTGGTCTCTGATTCACACGCAGGTCAGAGAGCCACTGTTCCCGCGAAGCCTAGGTTTGCGGGGCACCTAGAGGGGAGGGAAGCCGCCCTTGGTGCAGGTGGTGCCAGGACTCATTGTCGGTGGGGTGTGACAAAGAGTCTTTGCTTGGCCAAACTTAGGCAGCCTCCTAAACCTTCTATGCCATCTGTGCTCTTCCTTGTAAAATCCAGTTTTAGCGAAGAGCCTTGCTAAGTGAGTTTAGCAAGAACTCCCAGCGTCAATATCAGATCACCCTCCACGTCTGGTCAGGTTCCTCCTCCCCCAGGTGCTGTCTGATAGCTCCAGCCTCTTTTCAGCAAGAACCCTGTCAGGTCGGTTTAGCCAGAACCGCCCTCATCCCTGATGTTTTTCCCTATTAATTTTCCATTCGCTGACCCCACCCTGCTCCCTGGCTGTCAGTTTCCGCTTGCCCTTGCTGTATTCGGAGCTGAGCCTGATCTCCCTCCGCACTGCAAGCCCCCGTGGTAGTGGTCCCTGTACCTAGCTCAACGGTCCTGAATAGCGTCTTTCTTACCACACTCCCAAATATGAATTTCGTAGTTCGGTTAGACCTGAAGCATTGACTGATCTGTACTCATTCATCCCATTCATTTAAAAAACCTTTACTGCGCCGGGCGCGGTGGCTCAAGCCTGTAATCCCAGCACTTTGGGAGGCCGAGACGGGCAGATCACGAGGTCGGGAGATCGAGACCACCCTGGCTAACACGGTGAAACCCCGTCTCTACTAAAAAATACAAAAAAAAACTAGCCGGGCGAGGTGACGGGCGCCTGTAGTCCCAGCTACTCGGGAGGCTGAGGCCGGAGAATGGCGTAAACCCGGGAGGCGGAGCTTGCAGTGAGCTGAGATCCGGCCACTGCACTCCAGCCTGGGGGACAGAGCGAGACTCCGTCTCAAAAAAAAACTCCGTCTCAAAAAAAAAGAAAAAAAAAAAAAAAAAAAAAAAAAAAAAAAAAACCTTAAATGCGCAGAGATGAGTAAGGCACGGTTCCCGTTCTCAGAGCTTAGCAGTCTAACCTGGGAGGCTGTCTCCGCCTCTCGCCTGTAGGTTTTTGCTCTCTCTACACCATTTTGCACACACGTCCTCATTTTTCTCCTGATAATTCCAACCTTGTCCAGATTCCATGTGTCCAGCTCAGCACTTACTAATTGCCTCTTATGAGCGGGAGCCTCTGCTACTCAGTGAAAATACGGTAGTGATTAAGATCAGACACCAGGATCCAGTCCTGGAATGGGGCATTTTAAACACAGGAAGCAGAAGTACTGACTACTGGGGACCCTAGTGCAGGCGGTGGTAGTATCGTGGAAGCTGGTGGAGGAGGAAGGGGAGGAACACCAAGGTGGTGAGCAGAGAGTGGGAGAAGCCAGAGGGCTTGGGGGGAGCCAGGTCAGAGCATTCAGACGTTGCTGTGAGAGCCACTAAAGGTGTGACCAGGTGGCAGAATGAATGGTGGTGGCTGTGAAGGGAACAGGGAAGAAGGCAGGGCATCCTTCCAGGGGAGCAATGTGGAGGGAGGGGAAAAGGAGAAGGGGGCTTCCAGTGGCCTGTGGGAGGGGAGGCCAGCAGGACTGGAGGGTGTAGACACAAGAGTGAAATCAAGGATGACTTGAAGACTTCCAATGTGGTTGGCAAAGTGCAGGGCAGTGCCACCCTTTGAAGTAGGAGGCAGGAGGAGGAGGAGGAGGAGCCATTGGCCAGGAAGGCATTGAGTAGCTTTGGACACGGGGACCTGGATGTGCTGGAGGCACTCACACGGAGGTGCCCTGGAGGCAGCTGGACCTACAGGACTGAAGTTGAGGAGAGAAGCCCAGGCTGGAGACAAACACTGGGCAGTCAGCCTGGACCACGTAGCAAGACCCTCTACAAAAAATAAGAAAATTAATTAGCTGAGAGTTCAACAACAAGCTTCCAAGATGCCGCCCAAAGGAAAAAGTGGTTCTGGAAAAGCGGGGAAAGGGGGAGCAGCCTCTGGGAGTGACAGTGCTGACAAGAAGGCTCAAGGTCCCAAAGGTGGTGGCAATGCAGTAAAGGTCAGACACATTCTATGTGAAAAACATGGCAAAATCATGGAAGCCATGGAAAAGTTAAAGTCTGGGATGAGATTCAATGAAGTGGCCTCACAGTATAGTGAAGATAAAGCCAGGCAAGGGGGCGACTTGGGTTGGATGACCAGAGGGTCCATGGTGGGACCATTTCAAGAAGCAGCATTTGCCTTGCCTGTAAGTGGGATGGATAAGCCTGTGTTTACAGACCCACCGGTTAGAACCGAGTTTGGATATCATATTACTATGGTTGAAGGAAGAAAAGAAAATCATATGAAACTGAAGAAAAAAAAAGAAATTAATTAGCTGAGCAGTGGTGGTGCACACCTGCTGGTCCCAGCTACTCAGAAGGCTGAGTGGGAGGATCACCCTAGAGCCAGGAGGTCCAGGCTGCAGTGAGCCGTGATGGCACCCACTGCCTCCAGCCCTGGGCAACACAGCAAGACCCTGTCTCAAAAGAAAAAAAAAAACAAACAGCGCAATCATGAGCAAATTGTTGGCAGCTGGACTAAGGGGAAGTGCCCGCCCCTTCACATGTAGTAGGATCCCGTGAAGAAAACAGGGAAGTGTGGTACGAGGAAAGTTCCAAGATGTGGCTCCATGAAACACAGGGTGGAGAAGATATTGAGGAGAAAATGGGGCCCGTAAGAGAAGAACTAGAAATACCGTGTCGTCTCAGGGAGTGTCTCCAGGGACCGGAAAGGGGACTGGGGCCCAAGCCTGCCTGGCTGCGGATCTGGTATCTGCAGCTACGGTGATGCTTCGTAACAAAACCGCCCTAAAACTCAGCAGTTAAAACAACCAACAACTCCTCAGCACTTCTCACAAATCCACGGTGCTGCTGGCCAGGCCAGGCTGGGCCGAGCTCATGGGGCGCCCACCGTCAGCTGGCAGGTGGGCTGGGCGGGACCCCTAGGCCCTCAGCCTCGGTCTCACGTTCCCCAGTGAGTTCCCACGGGAGTGTGTGGGGTCCACCACAGCATGTTTTTCAGCCTTTGCTCGAGCCGTGTTTGTTGATGTCCTCTGGACCAAAGTTAAAGAGGGAGGGAATAAAGTGACAGGGAAAGGATGGAGCCATGGGGAAGCCACCAAAAGGCCACAGATGCACCTGTTCCACCTTCCAAGGAGGCTGGGGGAACAGAGATAGGAGGGCACCAGCTGTGGGGAGCCCAGCGGCATGTTTAGATTGGAGAGGCTGGGCGCGTTTCTGGGCTAAGCGTGGGAGCGGGCAGAGGAGAGGCTGGGGCTGGAGGAAGGAGGAGGGGTGGGTGGCTGGGGAAGGGGCTGAGGCTAGGGCCTCAGGGGCATCCCACTTGCTTCTGACAGGAAACATCTGAACCCCCCATCTTGGTATCAAACCCTTTCCCAGTCTCCCTGCTTCCTCCTGGCCACGGGCTTTACAGCGGGGGGCAGTGCCATCACCAGGACCCTGCAAGGGTCCACAGAGGCG